TTAATCATGTTAGCAATTAACACATACATTAATTAAGAAATTAATTAAACTGGCTACATAATTAGCCCAAACTACTTAAATTTGAGTTATTATAGTTACCTACATATACACGTTTAATTTTTTTCACTGGCACCAGGTACTGCAAACAAACTCTTCGCTGTGGGGTGCCGCGACTATCCCCGATTCACCGGAAGCATTGATACTGGCTTGTTCACTCTGACCGATGACGGAACTGCCTCATGCAGAACCAACTGCAGCTCAGGGGGCAAGAATGTCGTCGCAGGCGAATGCAACGGCATAGGGTGCTGCCAAGCCAATATTCCCAAGGGAATGAGGTCTTATACTGTGAATCATGATAGTTTCAACAATAACCACTCAACCATTACATCTTACAACCCTTGTGGGTATTCATTCGTAGCAGACCAAGAAAGTTTCAAGTTTCGAGGGATCAAAGATCTTAATGACCCTAACTTTTTAAATAGGACTATGTATGATGCTCCTTTGGTGCTAGATTGGGTGGTTTCTAATACAACTTGCGCTAATGCTAAGCGCGATCTTCATTCTTATGAGTGTAAGGAGAATACTATTTGTGTCGATGCTGCTGATACCGGTATTGTAGGGTATCGTTGCAGTTGTCTTCCTGGTTATCAAGGTCATCCTTACCTTAGTCCGGGATGCACAGGTAAGATGACTACATTTACGACCATTTTTTATACTCCGTATTTTTGTGTATCATAATTGTTAGGATATGTGTTGAATATAATTTAATTGCCTCTACAAACGATAGTTTTGACATAATTTTTGGACATTTTTTAAAGAAAACTGTATAAAATCGTTTTCAAAAACAATAAAACTTTTCTTAATTTACCTATTTGGACATAGTTAACGCATTATTAGTAAATGTGTGAATGTGTTATTTTTCATTATTTCTTTAATTTATATATGTTGCATTTGTTATAACGGTATTTTAATATATCAGACATTACACGTTGACTTTGTGGGTAAATCATCCACTAGGTAGACATAACCTTCTAGCAATACCATACCATGTACAATGAGTACATCATTACATGATGGATCAGAGAATAATGATATACGAAGTAGGACTGTAGATGTAGATATATATAGTTAAGTTTTTGTTGAGTTTGCTCTTTCTTATGTGTTGGCAGATATAAATGAATGTGAAGATCTCGATAGTAGTCCATGCTCAATGAAATGTAAGAACACTCCAGGAAGCTACACTTGTTCTTGCCCGTCTGGATACACCGGTGATGGTAGAAGAAATGGGACTAGTTGCAATCTAGAATTTCCTGCTTTGAAAGTTGGCTTAGGTAATGTCTATTTATGGACACTTTGTTTACAATATCATACATAACATATAACACTGATAATTGATAGAGTATAAAACATATCAATTTCTGGGTCAAAACCATCAGCTTTTGGTTGAGTTGGTCCTCTAACAATAATTTTTAATTTTATTTGTACGTACTCCTCCTTGATGATACAGGTGTTGGATTGGGCTCCTTATCTTTACTAGTTACTTTAAGTTGGGCATTCTTGGCTAGTAGAAAAAGAAACCTTGCGAAAATGAAGGAGACGTTCTTTCAAAGAAATGGAGGATCGCTATTGAAGCAACTAATTTCTCCTAATAAACAAGACGACGTGGAGCAAGTGAAGGTATTTACCATAGATGAGCTAAAGGTAGCCACCAAGAACTTCAAGGAAGAACGGATTGTTGGTCGAGGTGGTTATGGGACCGTTTACAAGGGATTTTTGCCAAATAATCAAGTTGTTGCGGTTAAGAGATCAAAGTTTGTGGATGAAGATCAGATTGAACAATTTATTAATGAGTTGATCCTCTTGGCTCGAATTAGACATCCTAATGTGGTACGGCTTATAGGATGTTGTTTGGAGGTTGAAGTCCCGTTGTTGGTGTACGAGTTTATCTCCAATGGCACATTATATGATCATATTCATAACAAAGATGGAACGACTTGGTATTCTTGGAGTAATTGCTTGCGTGTTGCCATGGACTCGGCTAGTGCTCTAGCACATATACATACAATTCCAATATTTCATCGAGACATTAAGTCCGCAAACATATTACTAGATGATAGTTACACGGCAAAGATATCCGATTTTGGAGCTTCGAGGTTGATTCCATTACATAAGACTCATTTGTCCACTGTGGTACAAGGTACACTAGGCTATCTCGATCCAGAGTACTTTTTCTCGAGTCAATTAACAGAGAAGAGTGATGTTTACAGCTTTGGTGTAGTTCTTTGTGAACTCCTAACACGGACAAAGCCACTTTTAACGGAGAGGCAAAGTGAAGCACAAAACCAAAATTTGGCAACATACTTTGTCAAGTCTATGCAACAGGACAATTTGTTCAATATTTTGGACCCTCAATTAGTTATGGAAGCGACTAAAGAGCAACTAATCACGATTGCAAAGCTTGTACAACGATGCTTAAATGTCCAGGGAGATGATAGGCCAACAATGAAGGAAGTGACAAAGGAATTGGGAGATTTATGGAGGCAAACAATTTAATCTAGATGGCTCCGGGCAATAACCTTAGCTTGATTATGATCAGAATATACCAATAAACAAAATCCGTAGTTTTTAATAGTTCTATGAATTTTGTTATTGAATTTGTTGTAGGTTTTAAGCAGAAAAACAACCATGATCAAATAGTAAAATAGTGATCAAATTGTAAAATAATACAATTGTAATGAATTAAAGAAAACAATGGAGAAAAGAACGTTGAAATTTTATATTGAATCTTGATAACTATGAGAATATAAACATGACTCGAGCCCTTCAAATGAGAACATGTTGAAGACCGTATTGGTAGGAATGGGCTAGTTAAATTTTGTGAAAATTGTACCGCAAATCTAATCAACAACCTCAAATCTATTATCAACAAGATCCCAAATAATTATTTGATGGCGCTCAAATTATTATATTATCTACTTTCTAGTAATTCTCATCTTAGTAATGACTAAGGATTATTAGTAGTCAAATAAATGTTATTAGTGGAAGATAATACTTCTCTAACAAAAAAAAAAAGCTCTAGTTTTGTTAAGTTTAGTGTTGTATTAGAGTTTTATCTATCCCACACCAACCTTAAAATATTATTATTTACTTAAAGGAAAATCTGTCAGAAAGGTATTTATATGCTCACTTTTTTGTGATGAATAACCTTATATGCTCAAAGTGGTAAAAAAAGGTCTTTAAAATTCACTTTTGTTGTGAGGGATCTTGACGTTGAAATATGGTCGTTGACTTCAAATTTCTGGAGTTGACTATCATTTGCATGTCACGTGATGTTTTAAAAATGCTCTTTCTTTGTTTTTTTTTTAATTTTTTTAATCAATAACATGGCGACACATGGCACTATGGAATCCACTTGACAGATAATTTATGGATCAAAGCTGTTAAGTGGTGATATAATCAATTTTCAGCAACTTTTTGGTGCAGCAGGCCACACCGTGTGCCAGGGGTTACTCGAGTTATTTTGTTAGGGGTTACCCGAGTTATTCAGTCAGGGGTTACACGAGTTACTCGGTCAGGGGTTACTTAAGGGGTTCGGACAAGGGTTACTCGAGGGGTTCACTCGGTCAAAGGTTACTTGAGGGGTTACTCGCGGTCAGGGTTTACTCGAATTACTAGGTCAAGGGTTACTCGAGTTACTCAGTTAGGGGTTACTCGGTCAGGGGTCACTTGAGTTACTCGGGTTAGGAGTTATTTAAGGAGTTCGGTCAGGGGTTACTCGAGTAATTCGGTTAGGGGTTACTTAAGGAGTTCGGTCAGGGGTTACTCAGTCATGGCTTATGTGAGGGGTTACTCGGTCAGGGTTACTCGAGGGCTTCGATCATGGATTGCTCGAGGGGCTACTCGGTCAGGGGTTACTTGAGGGGTTACTCGGTCAGGAGTAACTCAAGTAACCCCTGACCAAGTAACTCGAGTAACCCCGACAACTCGAGTAACCCCTGACCGAGAAACTCAAGTAACCCCGGCAACTCGAGTAATCCCTGATCGAGTAACCCCTGTCGCACGGTATAGTAGGCCACATACAAAAATTTGTGATAAATTTATTTTACTATTTTGTGGTGTTAAAGTAATTTTTTTTTTTTTTTTTGTAGTATTAAAAAAATTTCGTGCTTTTTTATGTTGTTAATTAAAAAAATTCCAAAAGAAAAAAAAAAAAAAATAGTAGCATACTCCGTGTTACCAGTATACGGAGTAACTTTTATTGTATGTTGCCTAAGTGGCGATTATAATTGTCTTACCAGGCAAATACTTAGCATGACTAAATAAATTGATTAGATCAAATGATAAAATAGTTAGCGTCATTGTTGTTGTTAGCGTCACAGTTAGGTCTATCACGATGTTGTACAGATATGCTCTTGTAGTGGTAGGCAAGTTTTTACCAGGACGGCATAATAGCTGCACATTTGACCTCGACTTGCTGGCCATGTTCTGTTGAACCTTAAAACCTTGATTAAAAAAAAAAAAAAATACAAGTACTATAAATTTATGATAATAATCTAAGTCCATTTTTTTTTCTTTTCCTTTTTAATATGCTTCATTTTGAAATATCATACTTGAAAACCCCAAATAAAATATAATTTTATAGTTTTAAAATAACTATAAAATATTATATTATATACAAGTATAATTAATTATTATATATATGGTCAACTATAAGGTTAGATGTTTGTTTATGTAAGATAAAATGACAATATAATTTAAAGATGGTGACAACAGGGACCCATTCTAATTTCTGATCACTACTTTATTTTGTATGAATAGTAAACGGGAAAACAAAAAAAAGTACACTACAAATCTGTTAAAGTTAATTACAGTAAGCTGTATATTAGTACGTATAATTGACTATGTAAGTGCTCGATTAAAATGACATGGATGAGCTCTCATTAATTATAATTATAATTATAAAGCTTAAATTTTTTTTTCCAAAATCGTATAAGAACATGGTTCTAACTTCTATTACGGCTTCCCAATGGCCTGGCAAATAATTTCTTCTCTTCATCTTTTCTTCTACACATCTCTTTCTCTGATAAGTTTGACAACAAGTCAAAATAATCCGATATTTTTAGGCTGGAAATGTGAAGACTCAAATGGGAACTATACTAAAAATAGTCTTTTCCATTCAAACCTCTTAAATGCCTTCTCTAATCTTACCTCCCTCTCCTCTTCCAATATCTTCTCCAACTACTCTGGAGGCATACGCGAGGATGCTGCAAACGAAGTCTTTGCCTTATATGACTGTCGAAACGACCTTCCACTTCGAACATGCCATGATTGCGTTGAGGAAGCCGCAAAGAATCTCTTGGAGATTTGCACCTCCAAAGAGGCCATAACCTACTATGAGGTATTAATGTTCATAACAATTAAAAGAACATACTTTATAAAAGTACCCTCTTTGTTCTTTTTTTATCTACCTACTCCGTATTTTTTTTTATCTTCTTATTTTTGCTTTATTTTTTTTATGGCAGTTTATTTTTTTATCTTATCACTTTTTACTCCACCACATGGTCCACATTAAATGAAGTATAATAATTCGGAGCACTAATCTTTCAAATTAATTTTTCTTTCCTATCTAAAAAGTAATGTAAGGACCCAATTTTCACTTACTACCAGTACTTCATTTTATATGAACAGTAAATGAGAAGATTAGAAAAGAACGGAGAGAGTAGAGTTGTCATTTGAGTTTTTTTTTTTTTTTTTTATCCTAACAAATCTATCCAAAAAAACCGAATGAAGTGGACGTGTGATTGAATTAAATGGGTGAATTATCCGAATAATATGTGTCAAAAAAAAAAAAAATCCAAATAGTAACTTCATATGTAGTTTGTAAAAATACCCCATTCCGCCTATTTAATTTTTTAGGTCAAACTTATAAATATTTGACGGTAATTTCTAATCAAGATATGTATCAAAATTGTACAGTACTTCGTATGACTTAGCTGTTACTCGTATAAAATACTTCAAATATAGTTTCATCTCAATATAGAAATATAGATACTTCGTATGACCAAATGAATAATTTATATTTTCCTAGCCAATGAACATACAACTACAATGGTTCTCTATGGCAGCAATGCATGTTACGGTATGCAAACCGTCCAATCTACAACATCATGGAGTTGAAGCCCCAACTTTATTTCTGTGAGATCAGTATACCTGATGGAGGCGAGTTAAATCGAACTGTTGAACCGATCTTAAAAGGGCTAATAGATGAAGCTACAATGGAGAACTCATCGCGCTACTTTGGACTAGGAGACGAGAGTTATTTTGAGTATCAAAGAGTATATTCTATGGTGCAATGTACTCCTGATATAAGTAGGGAGCAATGCAAGGAGTGTTTGATGAATTCCTTGAATTACACCCTTCAATGTTCAAATGATAGTATGATGTCAAGTTATCATGGCGTGCCAAGTTGCTTTATGAGATACGATTTCGTATCTTTCTACAATATATCGTCACCAAGCCCTTCACCAGTTCCTCCCATGGCTACCATGTCAACACACTCAAGGACTACTAGTAATGGAGGTCAACGTTTGTATTCTATTAGAAACTTAATTTTTATTTTCTCCTTTTCTTTGGTAATCATGCATGTAATGTTATAACATTGTTTCTCAAGTGAAATATACCTAGAGCAAATATGTACGATTACTTGTATATTTATGGTCAAACTAATGCATTGTACTGTATATTAGATTTTATTATATTGTGTCGATTATTTTGAAACAGATAAAGTATTTTTACAAGGTATTATCTCCCAAATACAGTTTTAAAAAGGTCTTAATTTGCAAACTTGAACAAACTTATGGTCTTTTCCATTATAACATTATAATTTCATCCTACCTTTGAGTATCACCCACGGGGCCACGGCTTCTCCTGCTAACATACCAATTTGGACCGTACCCACACGCTATTAGTAGTAGTATTTATTTATTTGTGGGATTGGTTAGTTCATTCAACTAACTTGATGGCTGGTGGTGAAAACCAATTTGGAGCAAGTAAAGGTATTTACCATTGACGAGTTGAAGGTAGCCACTAAGAACTTTAAAGACGAACAAATTGTTGGTCGAGGTGGTTATGGTACGGTTTACAAGGGTTTTTTTTACCGAATAGTCAAATTGTAGCAGTGAAAAAATCAAAATTCGTAGATGAGAATCAAATCGACCAATTTATTAACGAGTTGATCCTTCTTGCACGAATAAGAGACCCTAATGTGGTACGACTTTTAGGGTGTTGTTTGGAAGTTGAAGTCCCATTGTTGGTTTACGAGTTTATCTCCAATGGCACACTACATGATCATATACATAATCAAGAGAGACCTTCTTGGTATTCTTGGAGCAATTGTTTGCGAATTGCCATGGACTCGGCTAATGCGTTGGCATACATACATTCTTTACCAATAATTCATCGAGACATTAAGTCCTCAAATATTTTACTAGACGATAGTTATGCAGAAAAGATATCCGACTTTGGAGCTTCAAGGTTAATTCCATTAAATGAGACTCATTTGTCAACCGTGGTACAAGGTACACTAGGATATCTCGATCCATAGTACCTTTTTTCAAGTCAATTGACGGAGAAAAGTGATGTTTATAGCTTTGGCGTAGTCATTGCTGAACTCTTAGCGAGGACAAGGCCACTTTTGTTAGAGAGGCAAACTGAAGAACATAATCAAAATTTGGCAACATACTTTGTCAACTCTATGCAGCGCGCAAGATAATTTGTTCAATATTTTGGATTCTCAATTGGTTACGGAAGCAACTCAAGAGCAACTCATCTCAATGGGAAATCTTGTACAACGATGACTAAGTGTTGAGGGTGCTTTGAGGCCAAAAATGAAGGAAGTGGCGATGGAACTAGGAGACTTATGGAAGCAAACAATGTACTTGACCCCGAGCAATAGCCTAGCCAAGCATGATACCATGACTTTGCTTGAAAAACAATGATCAATTAACGTATGAATCATTGCAAAGACATCATTGAAAGAATGAAAGATCTTTATCATGGAACTGTATAGTGAGTTTACATATTTATTTAATTCAAGTTACATTGTTTTGTTGTTTGTTACTCAATCAAGGTGTCTTAATTTTTTGAATCAGAAATTTTGGCCGCCAAATTCTATTAGACAAATTCAGCAAGATCGATCTTAGTTTGATATCAGCTTTGATCCAAAGAACTTCTTAGACTTGAGTTTTTTTTTTTTTTTTTTTTTTTTTTTGTGTATTATTCATATGATCATCAAGAAATACTTTTCTCATTCAAATCACAAGATTAAGATACCTTAGTCTAAAAAATAAACCAAAATAAAAGTAAGACACCTTGATCAAAATGTTAAGAACAACCAGACACCTTGAGAAAATGTCAAGAACAACCAAATTAAAAGAAAATTAATTAATAGTCCTCATAAAAAATGAAAAAAAAAATAATAGTAATTGATGATTACATAATTATTAATTCTCCTGTTATGTAATCATGTATGTTGCTGTTACATTTCTCGTTCAATCGGAGACAAGTTCGTTGGTTGCTTACATAATTCTCCTAGATCAATTGCGACTTCCATCATTGTCGGCCTATCATCACCCTTAACACTTAAGCATCGTTGTACAAGATTTGCAATGAAGATAAGCTGCTCTTGAGTTGCTTCCACAATCAATTGAGAGTCCAGAATGTCGAATAAATTGTCTTCTTGAATCGATTGTATAAAGTATGCTGCCAAATTGCAATTTTGGTCCGTTTGCCTTACCGGTAAAAGAGGCCTTGTCCTTGTTAAGAGTTCAGCAAGAACAACACCAAAGCTATAAACATCACTTTTCTCGGTTAATTGGCTTGAAAAAAAGTACTCTGGGTCTAGATATCCTAGTGTACCTTGGACCACGGTGGATAAATGGGTGTGATTTAATGGAATCAATCGTGAAGCACCAAAGTCGGATATTTTTGGTGTATGACTATCATCTAGTAAGATGTTTGAAGATTTGATGTCTCGATGAATTATTGGTATTGAATGTATATATGTTAGCGCATTGGCCAAGTCCATGGCAATTTGCAAGCAATTGCTCCAAGAATACCAAGAAGCCCCGTCTATATTGTGAATGTGATCATGTAACGTGCCATTGGAAATAAACTCGTAGACTAACAATGGGACTTCAACCTCCAAACAACATCCTAGAAGTCGTACCACATTTGGATGTTTTGTTCGTGCTAGAAGGATCAACTCATTTATAAATTGTTCAATTTGACCTTCATCCATGAACTTTGATCTCTTAACTGCGACAATTTGATCATTTGGTAATAATCCCTTGTAAACTGTACCATAGCCACCTCGACCAATGATCCTTTCTTCCTTGAAGTTCTTGGTGGCCACCATCAACTCGTCAATAGTAAAGACCTTTACTTGCTCCATGTTATCATGCGTACTGGGGGTTATTAGTTAATTCAACAACAAACCTCCATTTTTTTGATAGAACAACTCTTTCATTTTTGAAATCCTTCTTCTCTTCCCGGCAAAGATCATCCAAATGAGGGCAATGAGTAAAAATAGGGAGCCGAAGCCAACACCTGTGAGTTGACAAAGTATAGTTTCCATTAATTATGGAAGTGTAATTTCCTGAAAGAATTACTAATAATAGTGGAAAGATATAATTAAAAGTGTAAAACTAAGAAGTTTGCTCATGCTATTTAGCAATTAGTACCTAAGGCAACCTTCATTACAGGAAATTGTCGTTTGCAACCCGTCCCTTGTTTTCTACCATCCCCAGCATATCCTGATGGGCATGAGCATGTGTAGTTTCCTGGTATATTTGTGCATATCATAGAGCATGGACTACTACTTGGATCCGCGCATTCATTTATATCTGTGCACATTCAAAGATTAATATAAACAAATTATCTCACACTTTGTAACACTAGTCAAAAACAAATGCAACATTTTGATTCAAAATTGAAAAAAAAATATATAAAAACTTAGGAATGCATGATTCATGTACATATTGGTATATTACCATATACGATATTTTGTTACTAATAACTTCATCCTATACAAATACTTTTTTCATCGTATACAAATACTTTTTTGTTCTAAATTTCTTGATCTGACTGATGTGTAGAAAATCCAACTTATATGACATAAATGATAAGGTTGAAACATAACTATTACTCCATATATAGAATGAACAAATACTTGATTTTTTTCTTTAAAAAAAATGGAACAATCAAGATTTCATTAATGAAGTTGGTGTCATGCATATTACCTGAGCAACCAGGAGAAAGATATGGATGGCCTTGATAACTAGGAAGACAACTGCATCGATAACCTCCAATATCACTATCAATGACATCGACACAAGTAGTATTTTGCACACATGCATAGGAGTTAAGATCACGTTGAGCATCGGCACACGTATCATTTTCTATGAACCAATCTAGCGCCAAAGGAGCTTCATATGCTGTCCTGTTTACAAAGTTGGGGTCATTTAGATCAGGAATGCCGCGAAATTTGAAACTTTCTTGGTCTGCCACAAATGAGTACCCACAAGGATTATATGTCACAGTCGATGTATGGTTCATGAGGATATCAAAACTCAACGAATAAGATCTCATCATTCCCCCAGGAATGACGGCTTGGCAACACCCATTGCCATTGCATTTGCCTGCAGCCACATTTCTGGCGTCGAAGCTGCAATAAGTACTGCATGAAGTACCTTGATCACTGGGGATCACAGTGGGAGTGGCATCGAAGGCTGACTCGAAATGGGAGGCATCATGACACCCCACAACGAACAACTTGTTTGCGGTACCTACACATAGTATAGGATTTATTACATCCATTTTATTAAGGTTTTAGGAGTCTTTTGATTCTGGCATTTGGAGTCGATTTGAGGTCAAAATATGAAAAAAGTTATTGAAAATGTCTCATTTTGTATGTGTCATGGAAACCGAGGTAATTATTAGCACGAAAAAAATAGGTATTTCCGATAACGTTTTTCAATTTTTGACCTCAAATCAAATTCAAAGGACCAAAATGACCTCTAAACCTTAATAAAGAAAATTTGGCACAAAAGTCAATGTTTATATTTTAAATTAAAAATGAAACTTTTTAGCGTTTTTGAAAAAAAGGGTGGTATAATTGAAAATAAGGGGAGGTTACTTCTAAATAGGATGTATTGAGGGGTGGTTATTTACAAAATTTTCAAAAAATTATAATATTTTTTGTGTGCTTATCGAGATGATGAATATAATGACACCCAACATAACTATGTTATTTATTATTTGTAATTAGAAAATGATGGTCAAAGAAGTGAGTAAACAATGTAAGAAGTCAACCTAGAACAACTTAAAAACACAGAGGAATGAAGTAGTTCTATGCTTCCTCTTGATGAGCTAGTTTACGTGGACTTGCCACCGCGTACCTGATACACTGTACGGGACAAGTGTTGTGACGAGGTTGAAACTCAAAGTGTCGGGAAATTCAGGGGATATAACAGCCGTTGAATTGAAACACTTGTTTAGAACTTGGTTCCGAAGACGGACGTGAGATTCGGATATGTCAAGGATCTCCACTGCATTTCCATATTGGTCATTGGCTGCTAGTAAAAAAGCCTTTGGTGGATTGAAAGAAGTCATGCAAAATATGTCATACCATAAGCTTCTTGAGCAACCGGCACCGAACCCTACACCAAATGGGTAGGGGATGGTTAAGTCACCGCATTTT